AATCCTGGTTTAGTTCTGGTTTAGTCCTGGTTCAGTTCTGGTTCAGTTTTGGTTTGGTCTTGGTTCAGTCCATATACGGCGTAAAAGTTCAGCATCTTAGAGTAACTTAAAGTAATACAATAGTCGTGTAATATTTTACATTTTAAACGCAGTAATATTGTAATGTAACAAATTACTTTAAAATGACAATAACAAATAATAAATAACACATTACAGTTTTAAAGTCACTTGCCCAACGGTGCTTGTGGACAAACGAGTGAGAGAAAAGATTGGCAGCTTTTGTGTAATTATGTATTTTAATGTTATTTAACTCTTTTCATTTTGTGTTGTATGTTCCCATTGTGAGCAGGTACGACTGAGTTTATTACGGGAATATGAGGGTCACTTTGAGCTGATTCCTGAACAAAAGGGATCAGGGCGACAAAGGAGATTAGTTTGTACAAAAATGTGTTCATAATGTGTAACAGCAGAGCACAATGGAATCTTTATGGAGAGATTAGACTGAGTGAGGAGGGCAGGGAAAAGTTATAAAAACTAAACATTTGGTAACTGTGTTTACAACTTTATAACCTTTGAGCCAAAAATTGCAGCAGGCTTGTATCTCTACAAACCTGACTCTTACTTGGCCTAGAGAAGGACGTTCTCCTGCTTGTTTCCATGAAAATGTTGTTCCTTTGACTATAATCTTCTACAATATCTGATCAAATGTATCTATCTCCAAGGAGAATGTCTCTAAATATGGCTTTAACTTTCTTTTTAAATAGAATTGTGCAGACGCCACCTCTAGAAAGTTACACGTTACCTAAAAAAATCCAGGCCATAAAGGAAAGAAATGGGTGAATTCATGAATAACATCTTAAATAAAATGTGAAAGACTGCTTTGAAAAGACAGAATGCTGCTGTTGTGTCCTTGGGCAAGACACTTCCTCTGTGTTTTTATGCACTTCTGTCTCTCTCTCTCTATCTAGTAACTCCCGATTAACCCTTACATATTATTCGGGTTAAATTTGACCCGTTTTGACGTTCAACAGTAGTAAAAATACACTAACCATCATTCTTTGATCCTGAAATTTGATGACTTTTCCTAAATTTTACTGAGATACACAAAAATTAAATATTTTAAAATGTTTTACTTTTATATACCACTGCTTTGAATGCATTGACTAGTTTGAAATAAGCATAAGGGCTGCAGTGATAAAACTGGTTATATTATAAATTCCAGCAGTTCCAGAATATTCATGTCATTTTCAAATGCAATAAATATCATCATCATATTGGCTTTTATGTTTTTATTTGTTTTGTAAAACAGGACATGATACTGTGTGATAGCAGATGTTTTTCTCAAAAAACAAGTATTGTAAAACTTCTCTCAAACATTATATTTAAATATTATATATATTTATTCATGTGGGACAGTCGATTTATTTGGTATAGACACTTACTGTAAATGAATTCTTGGTCTGGGTCAAATTTGACGTGGACCATACTGTGAAAGCTAAAGAAATGAACAGCATGTAAGGGTTAAACTTCACATTTGAGATGAATGTTCCTGATCTTATAGGCCAGTAAACAGAGTGAGTTTGTTGTGGTTAATCTGACAGAATTAACAGTTAATCTGATTAGGACTGTTTAGACTCTACATGGAAAACTCATTCAAATATGTTACGTCACTAGAGTTTGTATAGGTCAATTATATATTTAGATTTATGCTTCTGGGATTATTGCAGGTATTAAATAGTCAACAATTACCTTCCCAGACTTCCTTCACCCCAGACACTTCCTCCAGCCCAGACACACAGGTTACGTTTACACTGAAACAAATCACCGTATCATCGTATCAGAAACAGTTTGCGTCCAGACACGTCGTTTCTATGTCCGCACACCTTCCCCATCCACACAGCTTTGAGCATATTTGTTTACATTTTACAGAAATTAAACTTAAAACCGCATGGCTCATTTGCATAAACTCAGTGCTCAAAAAAAACAGCTCGCTCCTTGTGCACTGATGTGGTTCAGCTTCTGTTGGACTAAAGGACACAACTCAGTGGAATATGAGTGTTCTTTCTGTGACAGAGGGGTGTTCTGCTGATGGTGAGTCTGTTCTGTGCTTCTGTCGCGTTGGAGATGGTTCATGTTAAACTTTTCAGAGATTATACGTCTGCAGGTCGTACACATAGGCCTTATGTATGAATGGACATATATTTTAGCCTCTTAGCGTTTTGGCGGTGAATTACTTCACAGCGCACAGAACAGGGGTGTCAAACTCATTTTGGTCCGGGGGCCGTATCCAACCGACTTTGATCCCAAAGGGGCCGGATCAGAAAACTCATGTCATATAAACCCCAAAAATAACAATAAGTTCAAATATTTGTGCAGAGAAACACAAATCTATTACAGAAATCTTTTTTAATTGATGAACTCTTTCTTTTACAAAATATTATAATATTATGAACAACCTGAAACTTGAGAAAAGATGCAGTTTCAACACAAAGTTTTAACATGAACTTGTATGTAAATAGGAATAAGTCCATTTTTCTTGTAAAATTCTGCACTTGGCTCCACTTTTCTCATGTTGGACATTTTTCTGATGAGGGTGTCACGGTCAACAGTCAAAACGATCGTCCTTTAAGAGCGTTTGGAAAGAGACAAGTCTTCATTTGTGCTGCTCTGGTGGGAGGGGCCACGTACAGAGACGCTGGAGACGCTGCTGTGATAAACACCACAGAAAATTAACAAGATTTTAATAGAAAATATAATTAAAGTATTTTAGTAGAAAATCAGCTGAGGGCCAGATTAAAGGTCTTGGAGGGCCGCATCTGGCCCCCGGGCCGTATGTTTGACACCTGTGGCATAGACCTACATCAGCGTATCAGCACATTCAGGCGTCAACACAGTGAGGGATCAGATCTTCTGTACTCAGGTGAATTTGTGGGAGCTGGCGGCACCAGATCAGATTAGTGTGGACCAACACTGCATCCGCAACAAAAACGACTCGAATACGTACTAATGTGGATGGGGCCATAGTCCTTCCAGTGTATCCCGGGTCCTCTCGGAGGGATGCGCCCCAAACACCTTCCCGGGGAGGCGTCCAGGAGGCATTGGAACAGATGCCCTCGCCTCAGCTGCTCCTCACCCTATCTCTAAGGGAGCGTTACCCGGAGGAAACTCATTTAACCGCTTCTATCTGTGATTTTGTTCTGTCTGACATTACCCTTTCCAAAGAGTAATGACAGACAGGTTTTTATTATGTCTAACAAATACACTGAGAAATATGCGTTCTTATTGTAAGGTGGGTTGTTGACATAGATATAGACATGTTTAATGCCGTACTTGCAGGCAAAGCAATAACATCTCCATGGAGACAAAGCTAAACTGTAATATCTCAGACGTGTATCACAGATCGTGGTGGAGATGTGGTCTGCAGAGCTGTTCATGTGTGGGACCGTTGGAATAAAATCTCTGTACATCTCAGTTACATTCTGTGTTCACGTTCACACTGATATGAAGCTGAGACATGCCACAAACGCCCACGCACACGAAACAAAGAGACCTCTCTGTCTGCGCTCTCGGTCCCGGTTCAGTCCTGGTTCAGTTCTGGTTTAGATCAGGTTTAATCCGAGTGCAGTCATGGTTAGGTCATGGTTTAGTTCCAATTTGTCCTAATTTAGTCTTGGTTTAGTCTTGGTTTAGTCCTGGTTCAGTCCCTGTTTAGTCTTGGTTTAGTCCTGGTTCAGTTCTGGTTCAATCCTTGATTAATCCTGATTTAGTCCTAGTTTAGACCTGGTTCATTCCTGGTTCAGTTTTTTGTGTTCATGGTTTAGTCTTGATTTAGTCCTGGTTTAGTTCTGGTTCAGTCCTTGATTAATCATGACTTGGTCCTAAATAATTTCTGGTTTAGTCCTGGTTTAGTCCTTGAATAATCCTGATTTAATCCTAGTTTAGACCTGGTTCATTCCTGGTTCAGTTTTTTGTGTTCATGGTTTAGTCTTGATTTAGTCCTGGTTTAGTTCTGGTTCAGTCCTTGATTAATCATGACTTGGTCCTAAATAATTTCTGGTTTAGTCCTGGTTTAGTCCTTGAATAATCCTGATTTAGTCCTAGTTTAGACCTGGTTCATTCCTGGTTCAGTTTTTTGTGTTCATGGTTTAGTCTTGGTTTAGTCCTGGTTTAGTTCTGGTTCAGTCCTTGATTAATCATGACTTGGTCCTAAATAATTTCTGGTTTAGTCCTGGTTTAGTCCTTGATTAATCCTGATTTAGTCCTAGTTTAGACCAGGTTCAGTCCTGGTTTACAATTAGTTCAGTTTTTGCAGTCCTGGTTAGGTCTTGGTTTAGTCCTGGTTTTACTTATTGTTTAGTCCTGGTATAGTCCTGGTTCAGTCCTGGTTTAGTCCTGTTTTAATCCTGGTTTAATTCTGGTTCAGTCCTGGTTCTAGTCCTAGTTTAGTCATGGTTTTAATTTATGGTTTAGTCCTGGTATAGTCTTGGTTTAGTCCTTGTTTAATCCTGGTTTAGTTTTAGTTTAGTCCTAGTTTAGATGTCATTTAGTCCTGGTTTAGTCCTTCCTGCTGGTTTATTCCAAGTCCTGGTTTAGTCAAAGTTTAGTTCTAGTTTAGTCCTGGTTTAGTCCTAGTTTAGTCCTGGTTTAGTCCTAGTTTAGTCCTGATTTAGACCTGGTTTAGTTCTGATTATTAGTTTGTATTTGCATTAACTTCATTTGGATTAATCGTATCATTTTTTATTCATCTCTTAACCCAATTTACAAGTCTAAAAGTTTGCTTTAAATTAATCTTATCTCATCTAGATTTCCGTCTTTCTCTCCGTCCGTAGTTGTCGATTATAAAACCATTTTTCCACAGTATTTCTACGACAAAACCCCCATTGTCTGAAGGAGAGAGAACATACCAACTCCAACCCAGAGGACAGGCTTCAACTGTGAGGAATCTGCCCCAGAGATTCACATTTTAGGATTATTTTTCTGAAAATTTAAGGCGTTTAAGATTAAATTATTTCATGTAAAGGATAAAAGATAAACTGGACGACTGCTGAAAATGTCTTGGTACGAATCAGCCGTTCAAAAACTGGATTTACCAAAAATAGAGTTGTTTATAAAGGTAAGAAATGCCCAGTTTTCTCTTTATCGATTTTTTTTGTGGTTTTGTTGTTTCAGAATTTTGGCAAACTTCTCATGACTTGTTGCTTCACTTGTAAACGTTTTCTCTTGTAATAACGTGTCTCTTGTCTTTAAAATACATGAAATTAAAGACTCTGTGCCTGTTTTTACAGTCTTAAAATCATGAAAAACAGAAGTATTTTAAAATATATGCTGTGATCCAAAGTTATTCTTTTACCATAAATTCCTAATTATTTACTGCTTTTCACAACTTTCAGAAGACATCTCCTCTGAATATTGTAGTGTTGTTGTCAAGACCACTTTAATCAAGACCAAGACCTCTGAGGGTCGAGACCGAGACAAAAGCAAGACTTTTAAAGACCGAGACCACGGCCCATCGAGACCAAATCGAGACCGTCTTTGTAATTTTCGATATTTATTTGTATTTTAGAGTTATTTTGGAACATGTATGTCAATGTTTTTATAAATATACCTCCATTTTATCACTTGTCAAGAGTCAGACCTTGAGACAAGACAAGACTGATTCCAAACGCCTTCAAGACCAAGACAAGACCGAGTCCAAACGCCTTCAAGACCAAGACAAGACCGCGTCCAAACGCCTTCAAGACCAAGACAAGACCGAGTCCAAACACCTTCAAGACCGAGACAAGACCGAGTCCAAGCGCCTTCAAGACAGAGACAAAACTGAGTCCAAGCGCTTTCAAGACCGAGACAAGACCGAGTCCAAACGCCTTCAAGACCAAGACAAGACTGAGTCCAAGCGCTTTCAAGACAGAGACAAGACGGAGTCCAAGTGCCTTCAAGACCAAGACAAGAACGAGTCCAAACACCTTCAAGACCAAGACAAGACCGAGTCCAAGCGCTTTCAAGACCGAGACAAGACCGAGTCCAAACGCCTTCAAGACAGAGACAAGACGGAGTCCAAGTGCCTTCAAGACCAAGACAAGACCGAGTCCAAACGCCTTCAAGACCAAGACAAGACCGAGTCCAAACGCCTTCAAGACCAAGACAAGACCGAGTCCAAGTGCCTTCAAGACCGAGACAAAACAGAGTCCAAGCGCTTTCAAGACCGAGACAAGATCGAGTCCAAACGCCTTCAAGACCAAGACAAGACTGAGTCCAAACGCCTTCAAGACCGAGACAAGACCGAGTCCAAATGCCTTCAAGACTGAGACAAGTCCAAATCCAAACACTGTTGAATCCGAGAAGAGACCAAGACAGTAAAAACATGGTCTCGAGACCAAGACCGGTCTTGAGTACTGCGAATCTAGAATATTGTATTAATCTGAACAAAAAATGTAAGTTATTTTACCTCGTCAGTCTTCTGGCTTTGGCCATAAAAATGTAAAAACTGATTCTTTTATTTTTAAAGCAAAGTGACGAAAGCATTATTCAGGAAACTGTTACGCAACATCTTATAACAAAAGGAGTAATAGTAAGTGCTTGATACTTGAATGTAATTTTCAGCACAAAATAACAGTGTTGTGGTTGTATACTTGTTGCTAAAGTTCTTTAAAGATGACTCTAGATGTTTTTCTCTGGTAATCTTATATTTGTGTGTGTTGTGTTTAGGCGGGCAGTGATGGCGAGAGCATCGGGAACTGTCCTTTCTCTCAGAGACTCTTCATGATCCTGTGGTTAAAGGGAGTCATCTTCAACGTCACCACCGTCGACCTCAAACGGTACTTTTATTTTTTTATACTTATTTATTTACACTTTACTATTTAAATGTCTGACTAATGTGCAAATGTGTTAAGTACGTTGTTAGGTATTTTTTCTTTACTATTCTTTATCCACTTTGTTCCGGAAGTTGCCGTGTTCACTTCCATCATTATTCGGGTTGTGTTGTTTTTCATGTGGCTGCTGATCTTTACAGCAAATGAGATCAGTGCAGATTATAAATCCGTTTTAAATCCCCCCAGAGCATTGTTTCCCAAAGACTGTGTCATGATGCACTATGTAACTTTTCTCTCGGAGGGTCGCGACCATCTTGTGTTTATGGAGATGCTATTGCTTGGCTTGGAATGTTCCACAGTATAGCATTAACTATAAATATCTGCACCTGTGTTGTTGTTTGCAAGGGGAAAGAAAACTGTAACTGAACATCATTAATACATAAGTTTAAAGTTAAACTGTGAAACATTTCAGGTAATAATAGCATCTCATAATGTCATCTCCTTGGAAACAAAAGGGCAGGTGGTGAAAAGTTATATAGTGGTTCTATATTATTTTCTTGGAGTCTATTTTTGAACTCCATAACATTGGGCCAATGATGTTCATTATGTCTTCTTATATACTTTAACTTCTTAGGTTCTTTTTAAAGACAATGCAGTAAAGTGTATTTACCTTGACATGTTTCGGCTGCTAGCTGCAAGCCATCTTCAGGAGGCGTGGTCAGTCTGAGCGACCTGCCAGGTCCATCAGGCTGACCACGCCTACAGGAAGTAACAACAGGTGATATACGACACGTCACCACCAACACCGGTGACAGTTCTGAAGATGGCTTGCAGCTAGCAGCCGAAACATGTCAAGGTAAATACACTTTACGGCATTGTCTTTAAAAAGAACCTAAGAAGTTAATCCATAACATTGGGATTTCATGTTTTATACTTAAAATAATCTAATAGGGTTCTCTGCATCAAGATACTAATAATACACGCATCAAGAATCTCGGACTTCCAGTCATTGCACAATTCACGCTGGGAAGGATTTTCCGAAAAAATGAGCATCAAACCGCCATGTTTGTTTTTCCAGTGGGATGCGTCTATTGACAAAGTTGATCTTTTCAAGTCTTTTGAACCATATCACTTTGGTTTCTGGTTCGGATATGTCATATTTTAGTTCTGGGATTTGGACATCGTTAATTGTGTGGTTGTTGGATCCTAACAGCGGAAAACGGCTCAAGAAATTTGTTTGTGAACTCCATAAATGCAAAAGTGAATCAGATGTGTGTGACTGCAAATCTCCGTTCAAACTGTTTCTCTTCCCAACGGAATTGAAAAATAGTGAAAGAAAAAGGTAAATTTTGACTGCCTAAATCATCTCGAGTTTGTAGTGAACATTTTGTATGTGGAGCGACAACAAAGCGGGATCCTGTTTGTTAATGGAGACGGGCAGAAGACAAACAGACTGAGCTGCACTTTCTTGTTCTTGTGGTTTTACAGCAACATCACGTCTTGGTCTCTTTGCAGTGGAAGGTGTTTCTTGGCGAACAGTTGGTGCCTTTCGCTTTGGCGTTGACTTTTTAAATTCGTACCTGAGGTTGAGCGAGGGATCGACGTTTTGCTTTGTTGGCGCTCCACATACAAACTCGGGATGATTTAGGCAGTAAAATGTTTCCTTTTTCATCCTTCCTGTGGATCAGTCCTGCCCATCGCCTTCACCTTTCACTATTTTTCAGTTCTGTTGGGAAGAAAAACAGTTTGAACGGAGGTTTACAGTTCACAAACAAATTTCTCGAGCTGTTTTCCGCTGTCAGGATCCAACAACCACACAATTACAATGTCCGAATCCCAAAACTAAAATATGACAATATCAGAACCAGAAACAAAAGTGATATGGTTCAAAAGACGTGAAAAGATCAACTTTGACAATAGACACATCCCACTGGGAAAACAAACATGGAGGTTTGATGTTCACTTTTTCGGAAAACCCTTCCCAGTTTGCAATGCGCAATGACCAGAAGTCCAAGATTCTTGATGTGTCTATAATAATTTCTTCTCAATAAACTGGTCTTAAAATATATAACGTAATATTTTTCTTGCATGTTATTGTGGGTTTGTTGTTTTCAGGAAGCCCGCAGACCTGCAGGACTTGGCTCCAGGCACCAACCCTCCGTTCATGACCTTCAACGGAGAAGTCAAAGTCGACGTCAACAAGATAGAAGAGTTTTTAGAGGAAAAACTCAGCCCGCCAAGGTACGACAATAACACAAATTATCACATTTATAAGCAATATTTAAGATTTTTCGTTTCAGTTTTCCCAGGTTGGCGGCTAAACATCCGGAGTCCAACACAGCGGGGATTGATGTTTTTGCCAAATTTTCCGCTTACATCAAAAATCCAAGAAAAGACACTAACGAAGGTAAGCGACCGTAAGTAAATCAGACTTCTTTAGCCACAGAGATGTGCTTCAGGTAGAATTAGAAACACATGAAAACCTCTCATGTCCTTTTTACTCACCTGCCCTAAATAAAAAGCTCTAATTTCCACCTTTTTCTTCTTCTTTTGTGCCCCAGCGTTGGAGAAAGCCCTGCTGAAGTCCTTGCGTCGTCTGGATGAGTATCTGAGGAGCCCTTTACCCGACGAGATCAACGCCGACGAGTCCGGAGACGTCCCAGAATCCACCAGGAGCTTTTTAGACGGGAATGACCTGACTCTGGCCGACTGCAACCTGCTGCCCAAACTGCACATACTCAAGGTACAGTCAAAGTTATATTTTTAGATTACGCTTAAATATTAAAATCTGCTTTTTAAGACTTTTGCACACACAATATCAAAACCAGGATTGAACAAGGACTAAAACCAAACAAGTCTACATGAGGAAAAAAATAATAATTTTATTAAACCAGGAAAAGTTAAGAAAAAAGTTGTGACAAGTTTTAGTGTCGATTTGTTTTTTCAGTTTTCTATTTTGTATTTAAATTCAGAATGGAAAAAATGTATAACGGCCGTTTCCCGTTTACGTGACGTCCGTGACTGCGATGCCGGACTTTTGCACTGCATACGGACTGAACCAGGACTGATCCAGGACCGGGACAAGACCGGGGCCAGAGCTGTGACTCCGATCCTCCGCGGGGTCCGAGCCTCAGCTTCGAGCTTCGGCCCTGTTGTGGGCTTTGAGCCTCCGGTCTAGTCCCAGTCTAGTCCCGGTCTCAGTCCCAGTCTGGTCCCAGTCTGGTCCGGGTCTGATCCCGATCTCAGTTCCGGTCTGGTCCCCTTCTGGTCCTGATCTGGTCTCGGTCTAAGCCCCGCTCTGGTCCAAGTCTGGTGCCAGTCTCAGTCCCGGTCTCAGCCCTGGTCTGGTCCCAGTCTGGTCCGGGTCTGATCCCGATCTCAGTCCCGGTCTGGTCCCGGTCTGGTCCTGGTCTGGTCCTGGTCTGGTCTCGGTCTAAGCCCCGCTCTGGTCCAAGTCTGGTCCCAGTCTCAGTCCCGGTCTCAGTCCCAGTGTCAGTCCCGGTTTAAGTCAGAGTCTCAGTCCTGGTCTGGTCCCAGTCTGGTCCCGGCCTAGTCTCGGTCTTAGTCCCGGTTTGGTCCAGGTCTGGTCCCGGTCTCAGTCCTGGTATGGTCCCGGTCTGGTCCAGCTCTGGTTCCGGTCTGGTCCTGGTCTGGTCTCGGTCTAAGCCCCGCTCTCATCCTGGTCTCAGTCCCGGTCTCAGTCCCGGTCTCAGTCCCGGTCTCAGTCCCGGTCTCAGTCCCGGTCTCAGTCCCGGTCTCAAACAAATCATTATCTGTTTTTTTAATTTTGATTTTGGAGACAAATAATTAAAAAAAAAAGTTGTTTTTTTGTTTTCTTATTTTTGGTTTTATTTTGAAAAACGAATGAACGACTGATACACAGATTCTTTTTCTTTAAATTCCACACTGTTCCTTTGTTTTTTTTTGTTTAGGTTGTAGCGAAGAAATACCGTAACTTCGAGATTCCGGCGGAGATGACGGGAGTTTGGCGTTACCTGACCAGCGCCTACCAGAGAGAAGAATTCACCAAAACCTGCCCCAACGAACGGGAGATCCAGTGGGCCTATCTCGACGTGGCCAAACGGATCAAATAAAAGTAAAATATAAACATAAAACACCAATTTCCATGAAGGAATCGTGTTTTTTTGCGTGTACTTGCTGGTTAAAGTGCACTCTGTTGTTTTGTACGGTTTTACTAATCACGAAAAACTAAAAATTACAAATGGCTGGACCCATTTAGACGAACTTTTATTGTAAGAAATTTAATATTTAATAGTAAAATAAAATAACACTGATGATAGTGAGATTTTAAGCAGTTTATACAGTTGTCTAAAATTTTAAAATCAGGACCAGCGTGACTTTGTAAACAGTCCTAGATTAGACCTCGATTAGACCTGGTTTAGTCCTGGTTTAGTCCTGGTTCAGTCCTGGTTTAGTCCTGGTTTAGACCTGGTTTAGTCCTGGTTCAGTCCTAGATTAGACCTGGATTAGACCTAGATTAGACCTGGTTTAGTTTTGGTTTAGTCCTAGATTAGACCTAGATTAGACCTGGATTAGACCTAGTTTAGTCCTGGTTTAGTCCTGGTTTAGTCCTGGTTCAGTCCTGGTTTAGACCTGGTTTAGTCCTGGTTCAGTCCTAGATTAGACCTGGATTAGACCTAGATTAGACCTGGTTTAGTTTTGGTTTAGTCCTAGATTAGACCTAGATTAGACCTGGATTAGACCTAGTTTAGTCCTGGTTTAGTCCTGGTTCAGTCCTGGTTTAGTCCTGGTTTAGACCTGGTTTAGTCCTGGTTCAGTCCTAGATTAGACCTGGATTAGACCTAGATTAGACCTGGTTTAGTTTTGGTTTAGTCCTAGATTAGACCTAGATTAGACCTGGTTTAGACCTGGTTTAATCTTGGTTTAGTCCTAGATTAGACCTAGATTAGACCTGGTTTAGACCTGGTTTAATCTTGGTTTAGTCCTAGATTAGACCTAGATTAGACCTGGTTTAGTTTTAGTTTAGTCCTAGATTAGACCTAGATTAGACCTGGTTTAGACCTGGTTTAATCTTGGTTTAGTCCTAGATTAGACCTGAATTAGACCCGGTTTAGACCTGGTTTAGTTCTAGATTAGTCTAAAACTTTAAAATCAGGACCAGCGTGACTTTGTAAAAAATAATTAACCGTAAAATTAAGTCGCCGTTTCTAATCAAAGGAGTTTGTTTTTGTATAAATATTTGTTGTTTAATGGTTAAAGCTTCACTGTGTAACTTTTCTGATTGTCTCCATGGAGATGTTATATGTTTGTTTGTGCTCCGGGATATTTTTGTTATTTAAGAGATTGAAGATTTGGAAAGAAAATGACTTTGGTGTATTACTGCTTTCTTCTGTGGAGATGATAGATGGATGGATAATGCCATACTGCGGAACATTCCGGGTAAAACTCCATGGAGATAAGCCAGAAAAGTTACACAGTGTGTCTTTAACCACAGTGTGTATGTTTTATATTGTTGATGAAATGAATGTTGTCACTTTCTGGCCTTACAGTGGATAAAGCTTTTAAATAAAATAACACATGATTTTACATTTTTACATTTTCATTTGGTTCGTTCACGTCACTTTCTTGTTGTTCTTTTATTTTGATATGATCATAAACGATACATTTTGTCATTATTATTACTTTCTACGTCCACAAACACAAAAAATCCGTACCTCTTTTCATTCTCATGGCAAAAGGGTCTGTTGTCTGGGGCCCCAGGGTTTTCAGGGCCCAAAATTGGATCAGTTTCCAATTACCAGTTTCCTAGATCACCTAGTGCCTCTGCTCAAATTCATTTCTCTCCAGCGACGAGGTCAGGAATCAGAATACACCAGACCGTTCTCAAAAACCCCAGAAGTGCGAGTTCAGGCACCAGCCAATCAGAGAAGAGACAGACATTCTGTGTTGGCAACGATTCCCGAGAACGAGGATTTAAAGTCGGAACAAAGACAATGTTTGGTGAATTTCATCAAGAGGAAAGACGTTATTGCCCTTCTTCCTATGGGATTTGGGAAAAACTTAATATACCAGTTGTCCCTGTTAGCGGAGAATTACATACGTCACGACCAAACAGCAGCGATCGGTTAAATAATAATTCCTGACTATCAGTAAATATGAAACAAAAGATTTACACACAGTGAACAACTCAACCTCACGTGTCCTCATTCAATATTATGAACTGTGGCTCATAATAATATCATATTATTTTACTTCAGTCTAAACCAGGGGTGTCAAACATGTGGCCCTCCAAGAGCTTTAATCTGTCCCTCGGCTGATTGTTTACTAAAATATTTTAATTATATTTTCTATTAAAATATTGGTAATTTTCTGCATCACTGAGCAGAGCAGCGCCTCCAGCGTCTCTGTACGTGGCCCCTCCCACCAGAGCAGCACAAATGAAGACTTGTCTCTTTCCAAACGCTCTTAAAGGACGATCGTTTTGACTGTTGACCGTGACACCCTCATCAGAAAAATGTCCAACATGAGAAAAGTGGAGCCGAGTGCAGGATTTTACAAGAAAAATTGACTTATTCCGGTAACACTTTATAATAACTACACCTTATTTTGCCTTAATAAAGCATGAACAAAGACTTAATTAATAATGATTCACGCTTAATCACTACTTAATTACTACCTTAATTAGAACTTGCACTTAATTTGCCTGTGCTGTAAATAGTTACTCATAATTATTTCATACTTAATTACTCATGAACAAACCATTTGAGCATTTATTAATCATTAATAAACTATGAGAGAATGATTTACTAATAATGCAAAGCAATGATAATTCAGGCAGCTGTTATCTGTTAGTTAAGTCTTTTTGAGAGCTTTTCTAAAGTGAAGACGAATTACGCTTTATTAAGCATTGACTAAGAGTGAATCATTGTTAATAAAATCTTTGTTCATTATTAATTAAGTCTTTGTTCATGCTTTATTAAGGCTAAGTAAGGTGTAGTTAAGTTTTACCCTTATTCCTATTTGCTTACAAGTTAATTTTAAAACATTGTGTTGAAATTACATTTTTCTTAAAGTTTTAGGTTGTTCATAAGATTATAATATTTTGTAAAAGAAAGAGTTCATCAATTAAAAAGATTTCTGTAATAGATTTGAGTTTCTCTGCACAAATATTTGAACTTATTGTTATTTTTGGGGTTTATATGACATGAGTTTGAGATCAAAGTACGGCCCCTGGACCAAAATGAGTTTGACACACCTGGTCTAAACCCTTTCGGTCATGATCCATGGATCCATGTTTTGTTTTGTAAATTTGCAAAATAACAGAATAAACGACTAAATAATAATTTCTTGATTGAGTTGAGTCTAACATTCTTATGAGCTTTTATACCTGCGTTAAACAACTGCTCCGTTTAGTTTCCCAACAGTACACTTTTACATTCTTGAAATTCCTGCCTCTAAATCCCAAATCCTCGAGCAGATTTTCCCAGAAGTCTTTTGTTTTAGTTTTTTTTTCTTCCACATTTACTTGCACAGTTACAGTACGTCGTTGTTGTTGTTCATTAAAGTTCATGTTCATGTTCATGTAAGAGGACGGGAGGGCATCTGACACACTCATGTAACACACCATGTGACGTGTGCAGACTGAGAGACCGGTCTCCATGGAAACTGACCCCAGATCTGGTTCAGACCTGTTGCAGTTTAGACCTGATTTAGTCCTGGTTCAGACTTGGATTAGATCTGGTTTAGTCCTGGTTGAGTCCTGGTTTAGACCTTGTTTAGTCCTGGTTTAATTCTGGTTTAATCCTGATTTAGTCCTGGTTTAGACCTGGTTCAGACTTGAATTAGATTTGGTTTAGTCCTGGTTGAGTCCTGGTTTACTTGTGGTTTAGACCTGGTTTAGCCCTGGTTTAGACCGGATTTAATTCTGATTTAGTCCTGGTTCAGACGTGGATTAGATCTGGTTTACTCCTGGTTTAAACCTGGTTTACTTCTGGTTTAGACCTGGTTTAAACCTGGTTTAGACCTTGTTTAGTCCTGGTTTAGACCTGGTTTAAACCTGGTTTAGTCTTGGTTAACACCTGGTTTAGTCTTGGTTTAGTCTTGGTGTAGACCTGGTTTAGACCTTGTTTAGACCTGATTTAGTCCTGGTTTAGTCATGGTTCAGACTTGGATTAGACCTGATTTAGCCCTGGTTTAGTCTTGGTTTAGTCTTGGTTTAGTCCTGGTTTAGACCTGGTTTAGACCTGATTTAGTCCTGCTTTAGTCCTGGTTCAGACTTGGATTAGATCTGGTTTAGTCCTGGTTGAGTCTTGGTTTAGACCTGGTTTAGTCCTTTTTTAGTCCTGGTTTAGACTTGGTTCAGACCTGGTTCAGACCTGGTTTAGTCCTGGTTTAGACCTGGTTTAGTCCTGGTTCAGGCCTGGTTTAGACCTGGTTTAGTCCTGGTTCAGGCCTGGTTTAGACCTGGTTTAGTCCTGGTTCAGTCCTGGTTTAGACCTGGTTTAGTCCTGTTCAGACCTGGTTCAGACCTGGTTTAGTCCTGGTTTAGACCTGGTTTAGTCCTGGTTCAGGCCTGGTTTAGACCTGGTTTAGTCTTGGTTTAGTCCTGGTTCAGACCTGGTTCAGACCTGGTTCAGACTTGGTTTAGTCCTGGTTCAGATCAGGGTTGGTCCTGGTTTAGTTCTGGTTTATAACACTTAACTTAAATCTCAGAGTCCGTTCAGTGAAATATTGGACTTTTAAACCAAGTTCTGAATAGATTTTTTTTTTTTTTTAAGTAATAAAAAAATAAAAAATACAAAAATAAAATCATCCTTTATTGTCACATGACCACGCTAGAGCAGAACTTTATTTTCATTATTTCAAAAAGCACTCGTCACACACACAAACGCCCGTGTGCCCGTCGGATTAGAAGCAGCAGTCCTTCGGTGTGGAGAGGGCCACACTTCGTCGCCTGTGATTGGTCAGTCCGGGTTAATTAACGAGCGAATGAAAAGGTCCCGAGTCCTGTCTGGCGCCGGGCGGATTTTAAACAGGAATCCTGGCGTCTCCCATGGCAACGGAGACTCTCTAAATCCTTGGCATTTCGCTCAGAGGGTGTGAACTGTGGACT